TGTGTCACTTTGTAGTATCAATCGGCTTCGCCTTGTGATTTATCCTTCCGTCACCACATCCAATTTTGTCCAATCATGCAATTGTATTTTCAGCCACGCCACCTTAATTCAAATCTCGTCACATTCGAGCAGCCATTGGCGTCGCCTTTTGGGTTTTCCCTCTCGGCACATTCAAATTTTTCATTGTATTGGGTAATGCATAGGAACTGAATGTATGAATGCTCGTGCAGAAGGGGAGCTTTGCCGGGCCAAAGAATTGACAGTATTCAATGTCGGAATCACAAAGCACACAGTGCTAAGGGCCAGACGGCTGTGTGTCCGATGAACGGAGAACGGGCGAAATTGAACGCCGTTGAACCCGTTCAACGGGCCTAGGGACCCCCGTTAAATCGCGTTTAACGCGAAAACGGGGGTGTTCCGTTCAGTTTTGCGGAACCGGCGCGTTGGGCCTCGGACACGTAGCCCTACGCGCCCAAACAATGAAAACAGGAAAAAAAAAAAAAAAATCGACCCCTACTAACAGGGTGGGGTGGCCAAACATGCCCCTCCCTCCTGAATTTCAAACCGCAAAAGGGAAAAAAGTAGGGGCCACCCCATACCCCAAGACTGTGACCACATGTGTGTGCATGCGGTTGCATATCGTTTTTTTTTTTCTTTTTTTTTTTACAAATGCTCCAATCTACTCGTCCAGTCTCATTTCCGAAGGGCCCCTACAGATTAGCAAGGACCCCTCGTGGAGCAGAGAGCCTGAGAGAGGGACGTTAGACTTGAAGACTGCCTGGGTGAGCCGAGAATATATAGTCTGGATTCGAATTCATGTCTGTGGCACTCTGTGCAGCACAGTTATGGGTCACGAATTCTCTGTTTTCTCTTTTTTTTTTTCTCGTTTTTCTTTTGTTTTCCCGTTTTTCTTTTGTTTTCTGATTTTTCATCTGTTTTTTCTCGTTTTTGTTTTCTTAGGAATACGTGCAGTGGCCCTAAGGGCCTCTACTCACCACATGCACAAAACATAGAACATATGGTGGCGTATTATTCCACGTTCTAGCAGAAGATTCATTCTAATTCTGCACATTTGCAGTGGCCCTGAGGGCCTCTGCTCACCACATGCACAAAATACAAAGGCAAAGCTCAGTTGGTAAGGCACAGAAGTTGCATTCAGGAGGTCGTGGGTTCAATCCCCATTGGCCTCACGATGTGCCTGGGCAAGCTTGGTGTTCTACCAGCTACAGTTAACCCGTTGGCCCCCCAAGCCAGCATTGGCAGGACCTTGGCTGATGTTGTTGGTTGCTATGCAGCGATAATATTGGTCATTAGACACCGCCATGTGGGGTTGGGGGGGGGGTAGGGGCAGGCGCAGTGACTGGCCATTTTTCTCGGTCATGTGCCCCAATGCGCCGTGTCGCTCCGCGACTGGAAAAAAAAAAAAAAAACAGCCCCATGGTTGGGCTGCGACCGAGATGTCTCGGCAACACCCCAGACTGGCCATGGCTGAGATGTCTCGGCCACACCCCAGATTGGCCAGGG